CATAGCACTTGGGTTAGACTTTAGAGGAAGACCCAACCTGAGGAGAGTTCCTTTGTGATATTTCTGTTGCATGGTTTTTCTTTCAATAGACTGAAATACTACTGTTCAAGAAGGGAGACATCCATGACATTGGCAACTAACGCCCGATCTGCCTATTGTCTGTCATCTACAAGTTGTTCACTCGAGTCATCCTAAATAGGATTGGCAGAACACTAGATGAAGGACAACCATGCGAGCAAGCCAGGTTCCGCAAAGGATTCAGCACCATCGACCGTATCCACACAATAACCAAACTCATTGAGGTTTCTCGGGAGTTCAAGATGCCGCTCTGTTTAACGTTCATTGATTAAAGAAGGCCTTTGATTCTGTTGAGACGGAAGCGGTCATTGAAGCCCTAGCCAATCAGGGCATTCAAGCCCAATACATCAGGATCCTCCGTGAGCTGTATTGCGGATTCACTACCAGGATCTCAACATTCTACAAAGAAGTGATCGTTGATGTCAAGAGAGGGGTTCAGCAGGGTGATACCATTTCACCGAAACTCTTCAGTGCCACCCTCGAGAACATCATGCGACGACTAGAATGGGAAGGAATGGGAGTGAAGATAGATGGTCGGCAACTACACCACCTCTGCTTTGCTGATGACATTGTTTTAATAACACCAAACATCAGCCAAGCAGCACAAATGCTGGCCGACTTTGACTGTGAGTGTGGAAAGGTAGGACTACAGCTGAATCTTATGAAGACAATGTTTATGAGACACAGACTTGTTCCTGATGCCCCATTCGCTCTCAACGGAACGACCATCTCCGAATGCAACAGCTATGTGTACCTAGGTCGAGAAGTCAACATGACAAATGACCTGGCACCCGAGCTGCACAGGAGGAAGAGAGCAGCTTGGAACGCCTTCAAGAACGTCGAAGAAATAGCTAAGAGGACGAAGAACCTCCGGATCCGGGCACATCTCTTTGATTCCACTGTTCTTCCTGCATTAACATATGCCTCAGAGACCTGGGCCCTACGCAAACAGGATGAGAACGCTATTCAGGTCTCCCAAAGAAGAATTGAAAGAGCTGTGCTTGGAATATCACGTTTCACTCAAATGAGAGAAAGAATCCGGAGTTCCAACATCCGTCGACGATCAAGAATCAGGGATGCTGTCTCATTTGCCAAGGTGTCAAAAATCAGATGGGCTGGTCACGTAATGAGATTTAAAGACGACCGCTGGACTAGAGCTGTTACTGACTGGATTCCACGGGATGTCAAAAGACTGCGTGGCCGCCCACCTACCAGATGGTCAGACTTCTTCGTGAAGATCATGAACGATCGGTTTGAGGCTCTTCATGTTCCCAGAGCGAACAGATGCCATTGGGCTACACATGCATGCGACAGGGACAAATGGAGACGTTACTGGCGCCCACTCGAGCAAATCGACGACTAACGGGAAGTTAAGTGATTAAGTGATAAGGACTGAAAAGGAAAATAACATTATCAAATATCTTGAGAATGAAATGAAATTTGCCATCAGAGGTGGGAGCAGATAGGTCAGAATAAGGTAGTGGAGGGTTTCTTGATCAGTTAAAAATATTTCTAGAAATAAATGCTTGTTTGCATTACAATGAGACACACAGTAGACTGATCGGAAGTGGGAATAGGGAGAAGAAACCTTTTTTTGACTAGTTGGTGTTTTGGACAACACTTTGCTGTACTCTGTGGTTACTTCCCATCAAGTATCACTCCCCACTGTGCTCAGGAGACCATCTGGTGCTGGGGATCGAACATGGGTCTTCCTACTGCAGAACACATGTTCAGTACTCTGAGCTGTCTCTCTAGCCCAAGGGAGAGAGGCTTTAGTCCATGTTCTCAGATATTAAAGAGGATAGTAAGGGCTGGAGTGATAGTACAATGGATAAGGCGCTTGCCTTGCAAGCAGTTGACTTGAGTTCAATCCCTGGCATCCCATATGGTTCCCTGAGCATTGCCAGGAGTCGTTCCTGAATGCAGTTCCAGGAGTAAGCCCTGAGCAATGCTGGTTGTGACCCCAAAACAAACAAAAAATAATAAAGATGAGGTTATATGAAACCTGCTGCATTTGGGAGGATAGCAATGTTGAGTATAATTGCTATTCAACCTGAACTTCCTTGGTGTTATGCTCAGACCAAAATTGTCATCATTTTATTTTAGGGTCACTCCTGGCAATGCCCAGGGTATCAGACATTGGTACAGGGGCTAGATCCTGGGGCTTCAACATGCAAAACATACATTCCAGGACTAGAAGGATGACTCAACAGGCTGCGTGCATGCTTCAGGGTTTTATTGGGTGGGGACAGAGTGGGGGGTTAGATTGAGTGAAAATACAGCAGGTAGGGTGATTGCCTTGCACACAGTGGACTTGGGTTCAATCCCCAGCAATCCATATGATTCTCCAAGTCCTGCCCAGAGTGACCCCAGAGTGCAGAGCAGGAGTAAGCCTTTAGACCACTAGCTATCACCCCAACAAACAAACAAACAAACAAACAAAAATACCTTTTTTGGGAGGGCAGACCTGGCTATGCTCAGGCAGGAGTTATTCCTGGTTCTGTGTCTAGGGATCATTCCCAGCAGCACTCAGAGGACCATATGTAGTGTTGGGGATTGAGCCTGTATCAGCTGCATGCAAAGTAAGCATCCTACCCGCTATAATATCTCTCCAGTCCCGTGAGCATATGCTTTGTATGCTGGAGACTCAGATTTTATCCCTGATGTCACATGACCCCTGAGCATTTCCGGGAGTCATTCCTGAACACAGGGAGTCCTTCAGCACTACAGAGGGTTTTTTTTTTCCTTTTCTTTTTTGGCTCCCCCAAAGAACAAGAACATGCATTCTCTCCCTTTGAAGTATTTCCAGGCTCCTCCCAGACCAAACTTTAGATGAAGGAAGATGATTTCTTCATTTTTCATGGGGGTGGGAAGGTGCCACATCCAGCTGTGCTCAGAGCGTCCTCCTGGCTCTGTACTCAGGGACCACTCCAACCACATGTGGTATGAGGGATCAAACCCAGGTCGGCCATGTGCTTTGTTATCCTTCTGTTTTGGAAGATGGTTTCTGTTGTGCAATTTTGTGGTCAGGCTCCCTCAGTTACTAGTTGAGTTGAGTTGGGTGAAAGTTCCTAAGCTTTCAATATCCCACTCTGTAAAGTGCATTTCATGTCCTCCCTTTCAACCCATGAGACTCCAAGGGGATTTCACCTGCACAAATGTTCTGCTGGAGGAAAGGAAAAATACAGATTGTAGTTAACATTTCTTAAAATTGTTTGCTCCCCCACCCCACTCCACTCCCACTCTGGAAGGACGTTGAGCCATATTCAGCTGCTAAATCAACAGCTCTAGGAACAAAGGGAAATACCTGGATCTAGCAAGCTATATTGTTGAATGGGGAAATGATCATTCTATTCATGTGAAGATAAAGGAGTTCAGCTGGCAGGAGAGATCTATAGTACTCAGACTTCTGCTTTCTCCGTTTTGTTGTTGTAGTAGTACCTTTTCGTTTTAAACCTTGGGATTCAAGAGATAATTAAAGTAAACTTAGCTAACTTTAGGGAACCAGAACCTCCTCCAGGTTAGCGGTCAGGGATACTGATGAGCAGGGAAGTTTAACATTCTGGACCCTGGAGACAACCTTGAACATTCTCTGCAAAAGGCTTATGTGGAATTGTTTTAGTGTTAGGGGACTCCCTGTGCGGCAGTCATGAGTTTGAAATTAGTTTACTGTGTTTCAGTTTTCATGATCTGGAGATCACTGGTGAAGGTACTAGCCCTTAACAATGAGATTCTTGTAACAAAGTATCTCTTATGAAGGAATAAGAATTATCCCCATACTGTAACTGGTTGCGAGCTTCATCCCTTACTTCCTCTGTTCCCACCCTTCCTTCTCCTTTTCTGTAACTTTTTCTTTTATCTTTTTCGGTTTTGGTCATCGCTTGGCGATGCTCAGGGCTTTCTCGTGGCTCTGCGCTCAACAACCACTCCCTGTGGGAGTTCTGGGGTCCATACAAGGTGCCTGAGAACACACCTGGGTGGGCCGAATTTAAGGCAGCGTCCTCCCCACTGGTACTATCTCTGGACCCTTCCTTCTCCATTTCTTTCCAGATTCACATCTTTATTTATTGGTGTTAAATTAATACTCAAATTTGGTGGGGTTGGCTTAACTCACCGAGGACGTTAACATTTATTTGTTCCTTGTAAGAATTCCTGGGGACTTGGAATGACTTTCTCCTGTGAATCTCACATTTTCCCCAGGCTGGCCCTGACTTCCTGAAAGCATTGTTCAAGAGTCTGCTTTTCAAAGGTTGGAGACCTTCGTCACTGTGGAGCAGCGGCCGCTCTCCCCAGGGGGAAACCCGCCCAGCGCACTGCCCGAGGCCAACCCCACGGGGCCTCCGGGGGGCTGCGGGGGCGGCCTGCTCCAGGCTCAGGGTCTCCCGGTCGCTCCGGACTGCGGGGAGGAAGGGCCCTGGGGCGCCAGGTGGGAGGCGCGAGGGGCCCCACGGAGGCCCGCCCACCGCTCCCGCACCAGCCAGTCGCCGGCGCTCGCGACGGGCCTTCGGGCTGCAAAGGTCCCTCCCTAGGAAGTGGGCCCCGGGCTGCCCGAGCGGGCCTCTGCGCACGCAGGGTGGCCGGATTCATCAACTGCCCTTTGGATTGTCATTGGGGAGGGCGGGGCGGGTGACCGGGACCGGGGCAAGGTCAGCCCGGTCCCGTTCTTCCCCGGCGGGCAGGCGGCGTGGGCCAGGCCCTGCGCCCGTCCCCACGGGGTCCCCGACGCGCTCCTCCGCGGTCCTCGCGCCCACGCGGTCGGCGGCCTCCCCGGCCGTGGGCACGCGCCCCTGCGGGAGCGGGGCCGGCTGCGGCCGGCTGGGCCCGGCTGGGGGCGGGCCGGTCGCCGGGGTTGCCCGGGCGACGGTGACGTGGCGGGGCGGGCCGCGCGCAGGTTGCATATTTTAGGAAGCGAGGAGGCGGCGGGCGCGAGCTGCGGCGAGTCGGGCGCGAGCGGCGCGGGAGGAGGCGCACACGTGGCAGCAGCAGCGGCACCGGCCCGGCCGCCTCCGTCCTTCGGCCTCTCTGATCGCCGCGCGCCGGCCGCCGAGCACCGCCACCATGGGCAAGGGGGTGAGTCCGCGTGGGGGGCACGCGGGCCCCGGCCCGGGCCCGCCGCTTCCCGTCCCCGCCCGCCGTGCCCGGGCCGCGCTCCTCCCCTTCCCCGGCCCTGCCGCCCCGCCCGGCGCCCGGGCCCCGGGTGGCGCAGGGCCGAGCGGCGCCCGCGGGAGAAGCACCGGCGCGGGCGCGGGCAGGAAGGGCGTGTCCCGGGCCCCAAGATGGCCTGGAGGGGCGCCCTGGGGACCTCGGCGGGACCTTCGCCCACGGGGCTGGGTGTTCTTGGTCGCGGGGCGAGAGAGGCGCGGCGCTTCTCTTTCTGGGGAGATGCGCCTGGAAGCACCGCAGGCGCCTTCCCCGGGGCCGCCGAGTACAATAAGCCCCCAAAGGACTGGAGGCCGCGGTCAGTGCGAGGTGTCCACCGCGCGCGCAGAGCCGATCTCCAAGGAGCTGGGGTCTCCAGGGCAGAAGCGGGCTGTGTGCGGGACGGGGGTCTTTCTTGCCTGTTCTAAATCGCTGCAGAAGACCAGGTCCTGGACTCCAGTGAGGCGCAGGGCTAGTTGAGACCTACCCAGATCAATCCCCAAGAGATCTTGGGCAGCTTGTGCCGATGCTGGTCTACAGGTTTCCGCCAGCCGCCTGCTAGTGGGTCTCCGCGGGTCTTAGTGAGAGGCCCTTACCCAGGGATCCTGAGCGCTTGGCGAAGGAGGCCTGGGAGAGCTCTCCTCTGGAGGCAAGGGAATACACAACTTGTATCTTTTGAAAGCACAGAATGTGGAGGAGCTGCCTGGAGCACCCCACCGAGGAAACCGGGGCCCAGCTCGTTCCATACTGTTCTCTCCTCCCTGCTGATTCCTACAAATAAGTTCTTGGAAGTTCGTTTTCTCTCTCCCAACCCTCCCCCCCAACCCCTAAGAAAAGTTTTATTTTCTGAGTCAGATCTGAGGACGTGGGGTGGGGGGGTAGCGCAGATGTTGGTTACGGAGATCATAGATAGGAACCCTAGGCTGGAAAGGTGAAGTGACTTGTTCAAGGTCAAATACCTCGTTAGTGAAACTCCGGAATTCTGTGGGCCCCGCAGGGCCTGACTGTTCTAACAACAGGCAGTATGCACTCACAGGTTTCCCTGGTTGAGGCTAGTGTTGGAGAGAGGTGCCTGTGCGTTGGCTTCAGTTTGTCTCTGTGTGCCTTCGGTGTCTTCATAACCACACGCAGGCATGGTGGTGGGAAAGATAGCAGCACATCTGGGTAGTTAGTGGAGGTGCAACCCGAATGTCTTGTGGTGCCTCAGAAATATCTGGTGGCCCAGCAGACTCAACTGGCTGGTGAGCATGGCTGTGCTGCTTTCTGCCAAGGGATTGGTTGGTATTCTGGGTTCCCCAGCACACTGCATGGCAGGTGGGGGGGCGCGTGAGTGGGGTTCTCTCGCTGTGTTACCCCTTTTGCCTCCTGGGATTTACCGTGGTTGTTGTTCAGAACGGTATTTTACACTGACACTTTTCCATTGAAACGTTGGGATTTTTCCACATGGGGATTAAAATGTGGGTGGAGTGGTGACTACAAGCCTGCTGCTGATTGGCTCGCCCAGAGCCCGTGCTGGCAGCTCATTTCTAAGGTCACTGTTAATTTCTCCTCTGTTCACACTGCCTTTAGGGGTGGGGGTCAGGTGGAGGTGCTAATGTGGGTGATTTTGTGTCCTCTTCCAAATGAAGTTTCCCAGCATTTGGTCACCAAGGAAAGAACAGCTCCTGCTGAATCATTCCTGCTAAAATTGGGATTGTGTCCCTTTTTTTGCAAATGGTGTGTTTTTGCCAGGGGCTGGGCTCAGATCCTCTGCTCAGTCTCCCACCCACCATCCTGGAGAGGTCCAGGAGAAACTTTCTCTCCAGCTTACAAAAGAAGGAGGAGGGCGGTGGCGCCACCTGTGGTTTTCCATTGTTTGAATATTAACTTAGTTACCTAGAAAATAAAGCCTAGCTTCGGGGTAGTGGTTACCCGAGGCAGTGGTTACCCGAGGCGCAGGGAAAAGGGTTCAGGTGAAGGTTGCTCCGGGATCCACAGGTCAGCATAAATCCTGGGTGTACGGTCACATTATCAACTGCCCTTTTGGAGCGCAGCTTGAAAGCGTGACTAAGCCGCGGCTGGCTGCTATAAAGCTGGTACTTTAGACTAGAAGCCCTGGAGGGACAAGGTGCCCAGCCTGGCCCCTGGCCCCAGCAAGTGGAGGTTGCATCACACCCGCTCCTGCCTCCCGGGCTCCACTTCCTGTGCCCTCCGCTAGCTCAGGGTGTATCCACTCTTGCTAACTTGCTGTTTGTTCATCTGAATTGCTCTGTGCCAGCAAGTTTGTAACAGGGAGTGACTCACCTTGGGTGGGAGGGGAGGCGAGGGGGAGTTCTACATCATAAATCTGAACAGGTTGAGAATAGGCTAACCCTGACAGCCCAGGCGCCATTTTAGCCCAGTAAAATGTTTTAACTAGCTGAGGGCTAACACTTCAGACACACAGGCTTTGAGTGCTCCTGAACAGCATTGCAAAAAAAAAAAAAATTACAAAGCCCCAGGGACGGTGGTTCTCCATGTTCCTTTCTAGATTCCTTCCAGCCACTGTGCCCGCTTAGTTGAGCAACAAATTAACAGCTGTGGCGTTCTGTTCAGATCTGGCTGAGTTCTAAAGATAGCCAGAGAAAAGGGGGCTTTCACTTTGGAAGGATTTTGTATAGAAAAGTAAATTGAATTAATTTCTTCACTTAAAAAAAGAAGGTTGGACCTGTATGACCATGAGACCTGTGGCTAGGGCTCCTAGGTCCCGGTGACACCTGTGGGTGCCGTGAGGGCCCAGATGCTTGTTTAGCACATACGATGGGCAGCGGGAGCCGGGAAGTTTTTTTTTTTTTTATAAACTAGGTTTGCTGCTCATCAGTGGCACGTGCAGAACTGAAGTATGGATGGGAAATGATGGAAAGGCTGCTTGTCACTGTCAGAAGACTGAGGATGTGCCTTTGATTGGCATTGCTGCCAGTTTAATAAGCTTCTCAGAGCTCGCATACTTTCACTTTGCAAGTAGAGGACTTTACGTTTTCATAAGTCTTTGTCAACATCTTGCAAAAGAAAATGGCCTTTTGGCCCCTCTGGGGTAGATGGGTGCAGGGAGCCTCAGCTGCCTCCAGGCTGCTAGGGCCTCTGCCAGCCGCCAGGCCCTGAGCAGAAACCCGAGCATCCCATCAGATGTGCGCCCTGTAATCAGAGCAGCTGCGTTCACACAGCAAAACACTGGCCAGAATGTTTCCCCTGCCCCAGCCAGAGCTGTCCAGTTCTGGATCAGGCTGAAAACACATGCCTTGTAAGGGCTGATGGGACGCTTAAGAGGATTTTTAAACCCACGACTTTTCCCCCTCCTTTTTCTCTAGCTCTCCTTCATTTCTGTATTTTTGGAAATGGAGGCGTCACTGGGTCAGGTTTGAACTTTTCTCACGTCTCTGTGAATTGAGTATATGAGAGGAAGTGTGTTCTTTGGCTGGAGTCACAGGGAGACTGTTCTTTGCATATGACTCACCTCATTAGTTGTGCTGAAATCTGTGGTCAGGAATTCACAATAAGTGCTTCACATTCACTGACTGTTGGGGACAGCAGGTCTGCCCTAAACAAGCAGAACAACCTTCTCCCTCCCTACTCTGCTGTTTTTCTCTGGCCTTCCCTTTGAAGCCAAGGGAACAGTGGCCAATAGGCTTCATTCCTGAGCATCTTTCTGACTATCCAGCGAGTGATGATCTGAACCTGAATAATCTCTGGGTCTGGTTTTGACCAGAATCTCTGGGTACCAATGACATTTTTCCATTGGTGATTGGAAAAGTCGATTCATGCTGTTACTCTTGTTGTGGCCCTGGCATTGTAGTGGGCCTGGTGGTGGTGACTATAAGGTTTTATGCCTTGGTGGGGCTTGATGTTTTCTCTCCAGTCTGCAATCACAATGGGAGCCAGACCCTACACACACTTTGCACCTGTTTCCTCCTCTTTCTTCTCTCTCTTCCACATGGTGCGGCCCACACTTACCTTTAACACACAGGACACTTCTCCAGCCATGCTGCCTTTCTGCCTACAGCCATTTGATTCTGCATCGTCCCTCCCCTCTGGACTCTATATGAAGAGCCAATTGCAAATGCATTGTCTCACACACCAGCAGATCCTTTAGGCAGTGCTCACCAAAAAGGCCTGGCAAAGTAAAATGGAGCCAAGGGGCAGCAGAGAGAGGGAAGTGGCAGGAGGTTGAGCCCTTCACTCCCCAGGTGACTGATGTAGAGAGAGAGAGCACCTGTTGGAAACCTTGTGGGTAATGCTGAACCTCAGTCCCAGGGCCTCACACTTGCAAGACATGTGCCCTACCATCGCGCTACACCCCAGCCCTGGAGCGATGACTGTATAATTGGGAAAGCTTGTAAGAGAGAGTCATTCTAAAGTATATCAGTTCTTTAGACATTTTAGAGTTTTTACTTAAATAGGTCACATGTGTATTCTGTTGCAGAGAGGATAGACTGCTTGTAAGCTCATTCCAAATTTCCCTGCAGGATGGGGGGAGGGGTAGGTCAAAACCTGGTTCTTCTGGGGCTGAGGGAAGCTGCTGGTCAGAGCTGGGGCTGCTTTCCTTGCCCCTGCTGGCCAGGGGGCAGAGGCCAGCTTTGACTGTGCTGAGCTGGGCTCATCAAATGCATAGCTCTGGACTCTGTTCCTGGTCATTCTTTGTATTGCATGGGGAGGTGCGAGGAGGACTTCGAAGGCCAGTGGTCCCTCAGGGTCACCCTGCAGAGAAAAGCTGTTGCCCTGGGCCAGCAGCTTCAGCACTAGGGCAGTGTTTTTCCACCCTCAGATTCCTGGCTAGGAAATTCCTTATATTAGCGGAACTACTTAGTTGTTTGGGAACAACTGAAGATGTAGTGAACTGGGTGTGATTATTTCTCTAATGTGTGTGTGTGTCTGTGTGTCTGTGTGTGTCTGTGTGTAAAATGTTTTAATCCACAAGGTGAAATTTACAATACCCTAAATGAGTTTTTAAAAACAGTTTTCATTAGTAAGTGAGGGATGGCAGTCACTGATGTTAATCCACACGGGGTTTTATAGTCCTGCTCTGTAGAGGTCCCTTATGGACTTGGCAGTGCTGCTGTGATTGTGTATGAGCTCAGGGAGGCTGGTCGTGTCTCCCGGTAGCTGGCTCCTGTTCACCCCCCTAACCCCCCCACCCCCCCGCTGAGGTGGAGGAGTTGGGGTCTGGCTCTGGGTTGCCATTTCTCAGCAAGCTTGGACATGGACTGTTGTGGACACTGATGGCGCAGGCTTTCACCCGCCTGGACCCTGGCACTGGTGGGATTGAGAAACAGTGCGACTTTGGTTTTTCCATAGCTGATGGCAGCCCTTTCCTTGATTAATCTGATTATCAAAATGCCTTCCTAGAGTCTTTCAGAGTTAGACCAAGTATTGCTCCATTTCAGGAAACAGCCTGACAGTACAAGGCCCCGGGCTGGCGCTTGGCAGAGCAGAATGGGCTGAAACACTTTCAGCACTTCTAAGGGGGTGAACCCCTGACTTCCAGGTGGGCGCTGGCTGCCCCAAGGCTCTGGTGCCAGCTTTTCTAACTGGGACTTGCTGAACAGAGGAGAGAAAACTCCACCCCCGGAGAGGAGTGGGCACACCAGCCCTCTCCCCAGTGCCCTTTCCTCTGCTGGATCAGCAGGCACCGCGGTGGGAGTGGCTGTCCGGGGAAGGTGGCCCTGTTGGGCAGCCTCTGTCTGGCCGTGACCTTCGACTTCCTAAATTAGAGTGGAAAAAACCCAGAACTAAACTTTCTTGGTCGTCGAGGTGCCCTTCCCCAAACATGCTCTGACAAGTGTCTCTGTTGTGTCGGCGCACAGCAGGGGCCATGGGGAGGGCAGGGGGCGCTGTGGGCAGAGCAGTTTGGATGCCTGTACAGGGGTTCAGCCATGGCCCGTGGCATCCCAGCCTTCACCTTTGTTTGCAACCACGTGCCGCTCAACGCAATAATACAGCGTTGTGTTTCTGTTCTGGGGCTGCCCTCCTGATCCCTCCGTCTCGTCTCTTCTTCGAAACAGTCCTCAGTCGTCAGACTGAAGACCCTCATGAGGTCCCTCAGCAAGGGGTAGCGTGGGGCTCTCTCCTGGACGAGCCCTGCCTAGTGAGCAAAGGGGAGCTGCTGAGGTAGAGAGAAACTCCACAGCACCGCTTCCACGTTTCTTTCGCTTTAAAGAGACCACTTTTTAAAAGTAGCCTCTTTTTAAAAAAAGCAGGCTGCAGGGCCAGGGGCCATGTGGTGAGGTGGTGAAGTCGTGAGAGAACGGGACTCTTGGCTCACTTAGCCCGTGAGGACTGGGAGGCTCTGGGAAGGTTTCTTTCTCTACTTTGCAAGTAGGCATAAAACTTGGGAAAAGTCCAGGGCCAAACTGCGCCAATAATTCTCTCCTCCTTCCTTCAGAGAGGAAAATATTGAAAGTAAGAATAAAGCATGCAGATGGTAAAGCAGAGGGACTATAATTATGATTTTCATATATTTAAATACTGTTATAATGATACTCAACTTGCTTTATTTATTGGTGGAGGGGCTATGCTTGACCGTGCTTAGGGCTTATTTCTGACTCTGCTCGGAAGTCCATTTGGGTTGCTGGGGCTCTTACTCAGGTCAGCCAAATGCAAGGCAAGTGCCCTATTTCCTGTACTGTCACTCCTGACCCTCAACTTGCTTTAATGGGAATTTGTGAGCTTGATTTTTAAAAAATCCTCAGTCTTATAGAGGGCCCTCACCCATGATTTGAAGTGTCCTATTTCCCCTCTTGAGCAGAGTCCCTATCTTGTCTTGGTTTGCTTTCAGTATGTGATTATTTCCCATTTTAACTCTGGCACCATGGACTGTGCATATGCAAAGAGGCACTCCAAATGTCTCTGCACCAATGGAGAGAATGTCAAGAATGTCCGTATCTTAAGACCGGCTTGTTCCTAACAGATAAGATAGACACTAATAACTTCTCCCCATGGACTGAGGGGTGAAGTGATCAGTCAGGGGACACTGCGAACTTGAAGCAGCAGAAGCTGAACAGTGTGACCAGGATGGCTGTCAGCACCAACTAAGATGGAGCAGGATTTTTCTTTAGAATCTTTGGCTGTTTTTTCAAATTCAAACAATAATTTCCTTTAACTGGCTGTTACTGAAACACACCCAGATTTTAATTTACTATTTTATTCCCAGTGCATTGCACATTCCTAATTGCTTTAGTTGCTGAAAATTTACTAATGAAAGTTAGGAGTGAATAACAGAAATTCAAATAGGGCCAGAGAGAAAGTACAGGGTCTAAGATACTTTCTCTACATGTGGCTGGTCCAGATTTGACCCCAGTGCCCCATATGGTCCCCCAGGTCCCACCAGGAATGATCCCTGAGCAGAGTCCAGAGTGAATCCGAGCTTCAGTGTCCTGTGCCCCCCCACCCACACACACCTCCCTTTCTTGCTTTTTGCCTTTTTAGATTGTGCTTGTTGGGAAGTTTTGTGTTGGGGAATGGATAATCTAGAGTGAGGGGACCTGGTTTCTGTGGGCCGAACCTCAGAGCACTGCGTTTAGACTGTGTGTAGATAAACTTAAGCATCTTAAAGGTGGGGGGGAGGCACAACCTAAATTTAAACTATAGAATCAACGATTTCTCTCAGAATTGTTCCAGTTTTCAAGAGGCGTAGGTGGATCCTGTGAATCATGTGATAATCCACATGCTTTTCCTGCATCCTGCTTATGTCAAAACATTTCCAGTGACTTTCTTTTGGGGGGTTATTTTCAGGCTGCAGATTAGGGTGGGGAACTCCCTTTTTGTCTTCCATTTACAGAATTTTAGGGACTGTTGTTTTTTTTTTTTAAAGATGAAAAGGTCAGCGTTAATATGATAGCCCTAAGGTTAAAACTTTATACACAGTGTAACTTTTATATTCTTAGCTTCATAAACTTTTATATTCCCAGCTTCATAAAGCTCAGCATTTAAACATAGCAATAAAAAGGGAAGCTTTCGTTTTCCTCAAAAACTTGAATGAGGTGTGGCCACTGTTCATATCTCTGCTGTAGAGAAGAAAAGGGAAGCGAGGACTGAGTGGTTTGCTTGGGGATGCAGGTGGTCCAGAACCCCGATAATGCTGTCCTCCCCTCTAATCCTGGAAAGACTGGACATTTGGTGAGAAGATGAAGGCTGCGACAGTTGAAGCTATCTCCCATTCACAGCCAGTGGACGGGACGGGCTAGCGTGGAGTCGGCCAGACTTGCCCACAGGTCTTGGTGCCTCGGGTTTGGACAGTGTTTTGATCTATGATCATGGACCACTCAGTTTAGAGATGCTAACACCAATGCCTGCACCTATTTCTATAAATATTACCCCAATGACTTAAAATTTCTGTCTCCAAACCCACTCAAGTTGCAGACTCATTCATCATCCTCTCTTCCCTTTTTCCCTGTAGGTTGGACGTGATAAATATGAACCTGCTGCTGTGTCAGAGCAGGGCAACAAAAAGAAGCAGAAGAAGGAGAGGGATATGGATGAACTTAAGAAAGAAGTTTCTATGGTGAGTAGTTGGTACATTATTGCATTTTTGTTCTCAGAAAACTTAGTTATAAACAGTTTCAAAGAATCATACACCCTATAAGTTTGGGAGTATATAATCTTTCCTCCTGCTTTCCCCTTCCCATCCCTTTATTTGTGGAAATGTTCGTTATTGTAACTGTTAAGAGGAGTGGAAAAAGTAGCCAAAGCTTGGGCAGAACCAAAGGTCTATAGAAAGAGGAACATGTGGGCTGTGAGACCATTATCATTCCTGAGGCACGTTGGGAGACTCCACGCACATCACCTGCTGCCTGCCCACCCGGCCCCAGGTCTCGGCCTCTCTGACTGTGTCTGCATGGCAGGGGGAGCAGCAGCCGCCTCTCCCCGAAGGGCTCTGTTGATCGCTTGCTAACTGTGTGGTCCACCAAAGCACTAGCAACTTCTGTGGTGAAGGGGAGATGTTCTGTGACCCCTCTGCAACTTATGGGGCGTAGTTTGCTCCTGGTTGCGCCTGGAGCAGCCAGGCCAAGGGCCTGAAGGAACCCTCGACCGTTGCAAACTGAGCCTGTGCTCTAGCCTGGGAACCATCTCCCTCACCTGGTGGCATTTTGCTGCTGTTGTTGTTGTTGTTGTTGTTGTTAAGGTCTTTTTAAATGGTACAGTGTTGAATTCTTCTGCTTTGTTTCTATTTCTCTTTAGGATGACCATAAACTTAGCCTGGATGAGCTCCATCGGAAATACGGAACAGACTTGAACCGAGTACGTTGTCCTCATTTGTAATTTGCACAGCCTCCTAATTCTCCCCTTCACACTTAGCTGTGGCCCTGGGTCTCTGGAATTGTGACAGCCACCACCCCATACTTGCTCCATGGTGCTGCAGAGCTGATGCTTTCGTGCACTTTTAAATCAGTTTGTTTCCAGGGCCAGAGAGATAGTGTAGAGGGTAGGACGCTTGCCTTGCACGTGCTCAATCCAGGTTCAATTCCCAGCATTCCATATGGCCCCCCAAGCCTGCAGAGCTAGTAGTAACCCACCTCTGAGCATCACTGGGTGTAGCACCCCCCGCCCCCCAAAAAAAATTAATAAATGAAAGCGAAAGTCACTTTGCTTCCCCTGCAACTTAGTGGACTTCCTTGTGAAGAACACTCTTCCTTTTTGGAGCAGGCAGGAGAGCGCCAGCCGGGGGGGGGGGGGGGGGGGGGGGGCAGGGAGGTGAAGGTGGACAGCCCCATGGCCACGCCTGTTCTCTGTCCTTTGGTGACCAGCCTTCCCGTTACCTTTCCACGCTGCCTAGACTGAGCTTAGAATTCCAACTAGGTGAGGCCCCCTAAAATTTTGCAGTTTTATTAGCTTACTATGTCAGAAACGGTGGTGATCCTCTCATTTACTTGAAAAGAAATTTATACAGATAGCTCTCTCCATAAAGTATGTGCTATGTATCCTTGTTATCTGGGTAACTTTGATAACCAAGTTTGCCACTGACTATAAACAGTCTCTTGAGTTGGTTTGGTTATTTCTAGGCAACTGCTAAGGAGTCTGGGGCAGTAAATATGTGTCATTGTTTCACTAAGTTACCCAGAAACTCTAAGCAGGCTTCATAGCTGCATTTACCCCTGGTCTCACTTAAGTTTTCATCAGATTCCTCTGAGATGTACTTCTGTGAGCCTGTAGATCTTCATCCTGACTTGCAGACTGGGAGTGATGCCCTCTCTGCACTCCCCCCGCCCCCACTTCCCCCACCCCCACCCCCAGCGGTGTGGCTGTGAGGGTTAATATCATTCCGAGCGTCAGCTTCAGTGCTGAGCAGGTGGAGCCCACTCAGTTCTGGTGCTGATGGTAGTTTCTGCCTGGAAACTGACTGGATTTGCCAGAGTCCTTGCCTCCTTCCTGTTAACTCCAGTAGGACAGATAACATGAACCTGGGCAATTTAGACACTCAGGCCCACGTGCTTTGTTTATTTTCTCCCTCCCTGAGTTTGTGTGATGAGACTTGCTTTCCACTCTCAGTGAATTTCGGTTTCAAGGTCCCTTAAAAGAGCAAGGCCTTGACACAAGAATTTACTTGACTTTTCCAGTGAATTCTTTTTAACTAGCAGGCGCGCGCGCGCGCGCGCGCGCGCGCGTGTGTGTGTGTATGTGTGTGTGTGTGTGTGTGTGTTGGGATAGCTGAAATATGCAGATATGTGGAACCTTACCTATCAGACCGGTGTCTTTTTTTTTTTTTTGTGAAACACCATGAGGTACAGTTGAAGGCTTACAGACTTTCATGCTCAGATTTCAGTTATACAATGATTGAGTACCCATCCCTCCACCAGTGCCCATTCTCCACCACCAGTGATCCCAATAGCCCTCCCATCCCCCCACCCCCCCCCTCTGTGGCAGGGCATTCCCTTTTGCTCTCTCTTTCCTTTAGGGTGTTGTAGTTTGCAATAGAGGTATTGAGTAGCCATCGTGTTCAGTCTATAGTCTACTTTTAGCACGCATCTTGCATCCCAAGCAAATCTTCCAAACACCCTTTATTTGGTGTTCCCTTCTCTATCTGAGCTGCTTTTTCCCCCAGCATGTGCTGCCAACTTCCAAGCCATGGAGCAGACCTCCTGGTACTTATCTCAAATATTCTTGGGTGTTCGGCTCCCATTCTGTTACTTTATATTCCCCAGATGAGTGCAGTCTTTCTATGTCTGTCCCTCTCTTTCTGACTCATTTCACTTAGCATGATACTTTCCATGTAGAACCACTTGCATGTATATTTCATGACTTCATCTTTTCTAACAGCTGCATAGTATTCCATTGTGTAGATGTACCAAAGTTTCTTTAACTAGTCATCTGTTCAGACCAGTGTCTTGCCATCCAGCATTATTGTATACCTAAAACTTGGCTATTAGCCCAATAACAAGCTGAATTCCTACAGATTTTTTTCTGTCCTTTGATGTTTAGAGTTGGGACTTTCTCCCCACTTCCCTAGCAGGTTCAATATACAAAAATTAAAATGGGTATCTTTTAGGTAAAAATTCAATATGGCATGAAGTCCTTATCCAAAAGTTAGAAGAGGCGAAGCTGAATTCATATTTGCCATTGAATCAAGTTGAAAAGAGTTTCAGTCCTGGTGCTGTGGGTTCCGTGGCAAGCTGCAGGTTCACGTCTGCCTGAGCATCAATGGCTCATCATCTAAGCATGCGGATTCTACACTGGCTTGAGAATTTGTTTCCTTCCTTAGGCATTCTTAGGCAGCTTTCCTGCTGGCCTGCGCTTAAAGGGGAGAAATGACTGCAGGTTTTCTGTTCTGTCCTCTCTTCTCAGGGCTTAACCCCTGCTCGTGCTGCTGAGATCCTGGCCCGAGATGGACCCAATGCCCTCACCCCTCCTCCTACCACGCCTGAGTGGATCAAATTCTGCCGGCAGCTGTTCGGGGGGTTCTCAATGTTGTTGTGGATTGGTGCAATTCTTTGTTTCCTGGCTTACAGCATTCAGGCTGCCACAGAAGAAGAACCTCAGAATGATAATGTGAGTTCACGGGAGCCCGGCCCAGGGTCCTCAGCCAGCCCTCACTCCCCTCTGGGGGCTGTAAATAACGGGCAAAAGTGGGACCCTTCTGCCACCTCCAGTGCCCCTCCCTCCTCCCTCCTTGCTCCTGCTTCTCCCGTCCGTAGAGGCACTTCTGAGCTGTGCGTGGACAGCCGCTCTGTCCCACGGGACATGTCCAGAAACACCTGCAGTCACTCTGCAGCGGTCACCAGTTGCCTCAAACATAGCTTCGTTTTACTAAGTCAGGGAACATCTATCGAGAACTTTTCCAAATATCCAAGGGTACCCGTGGCCCCCACCCCTTCCACCTGTTCCTACTCTGTTGGTGTGGTCTGGGCACTCTGTTTCTGGAGGTTGGTCCGTGGTTGGAAACCCATCCTTCTCGGTTAGAAACTGACAGCACGTTTCCTGTGGTCCCAGAGCCTGTGGTCCTCACGGGTATATTTCCTTTCTTCCAGCTGTATCTTGGGGTAGTGCTTTCAGCTGTCGTCATCATCACTGGTTGTTTCTCATACTATCAAGAAGCTAAAAGCTCCAAGATCATGGAATCCTTCAAGAACATGGTTCCTCAGGTACCTGCAGATTTTGTCCATCCCCATGGGGTGGCTTGACCATCCCCGGAAGATGGTTTGTGTTATGTTGAGATCCCCAGTTTTCAGCAAGCACTTGGAAAGTCTGTCCACCAGGGAGCAAGAGATGCTTCCCCCATCCCCCAAATCTAGACCCATTTTCCCCATAATCCAGAAAGTGACAGCCTTGGGGCCCACCATGCACCCCGCAAATACGAGGCCAGCCCTTAGGGATTGCTGTGAGCAAGGTTTGTAATTCCCGTAAATGAAGAATTATTACCTGTTACTTATGCAGATCATTAGTCATGCATAGGTCCCTTGGCGATCAGATTACTGGTACTTTGGGGTATCTCTTTTTTGGAGAATGTAATGGTATGAATACTGTGTTCCCTCCCAAAGCAAGCGCTTGTCATTCGAAATGGCGAGAAGATGAGCATCAATGCCGAGGAAGTTGTGGTCGGGGATCTGGTGGAGGTGAAGGGCGGTGATCGGATCCCTGCCGACCTGAGGATCATATCTGCGAATGGCTGTAAGGTAAGCCTGGCTGGGCTGGGCCCTAAGGGCTGAACGTCTTAGTAGCCCTGACACGGTCATGCTCACGTGGCGCTTCTCGTGGACAGGTGGACAACTCTTCACTCACTGGTGAATCAGAGCCCCAAACCAGGTCTCCGGATTTCACCCACGAAAACCCCCTGGAGACAAGGAACATCGCCTTCTTCTCCACCAACTGTGTGGAAGGTACCTGGAGGCCCCAGGCACCACAGGTCATTCACCAGGGTGGACCATAGATGTGGGTCCTCAGACCTCCTTGGGTTGCTCATGGTCCCCGCAGCCCCATGAGTACAGAGTAGACAGGGAGACACTGGACATGTGCATGTTTCCCGGCTCTTTGTCCTCTTCCTTCCCCTTCCTGCAGCTGCTGCTTAGCTGCGCCAGCCAAAAGCATGGAGTTTGGAACCACCACCTTGCTGGTGGGTCAGAACCTTTGATTAGAGCTCTGTTCTAGAGCCCCTCTGCCCAGAGGTGCTGTCCCTTAGGCAGGTGTTTCTCTGCTGCTACCATACCTGACCCCTCTTTCAGGCACAGCCCGTGGCATCGTCGTGTACACTGGGGACCGCACCGTAATGGGAAGAATCGCCACCCTCGCCTCGGGCCTGGAGGGAGGTCAGACCCCAATTGCTGCAGAAATCGAGCACTTCATTCATCTCATCACGGGTGTGGCCGTGTTCCTGGGGGTGTCCTTCTTCATCTTGTCTCTGATCCTGGAGTACACCTGGCTGGAAGCTGTCATCTTCCTCATCGGTATCATCGTAGCCAATGTACCAGAAGGGCTGCTGGCCACGGTCACGGTGAGATGCTCCTGCTGTCTAGCTCTCCAAGTGTAGGGGTCCACTGTGGAGTCGGCTTCCCTCCTCATGGGCTTGGCGGTTTCCTGCCAAGCATTGTGGTAGCAGGGAAGGCCAGGCAGACTTACATGGCAGATGGGAACTTTCTGTTCTTTTTGGGGGTGGGGGGTCGCACCCGGCGATGCTCGGGGGTTACTCCTGGCTTTGCACTCAGCAATCACTCCTGGCAGTACTCGGGGGACCATATGGGATGCTGGGAATTGAACCCGGGTGGGCCGCGTGCAAGGCAAACGCCCTACCCGCTGTGTGGGCTCCAGCCCTGAACTTTTTGTTCTTAAGCTAGTTTCGTGATCCTACACAACAGTGGAGAAGGGATAACTGAGGTGCATGTGCATAGCGTGCAGGGCCTGGTACACCCATGTCATCTCCTCGAGCTTATGTGGCCCAGTTTACGGGCTCAGTTTCCCTCCTCCCTGGGATACAGTCAGAGCCCACGGAGTGTGAGTCCCAGCCAGGTCACGTGCTGGCTTCTTGGTCCTGGTGTCTAGGTGTGCCTGACTCTCACTGCCAAACGCATGGCGCGGAAGAACTGCCTAGTGAAGAACTTAGAGGCCGTGGAGACCCTTGGGTCCACATCCACCATCTGCTCAGATAAAACTGGAACTCTAACTCAGAACCGGATGACGGTGGCCCACATGTGGTTTGACAATCAGATCCATGAAGCTGACACAACGGAGAACCAGAGTGGTAAGGCCGGGCCCAGCCTCCTGACTCCCAGAGCAATTTCTTTGCAGGGGTGGGGAATAAAACACAGGGATTTTATTTTGGGTTGAGGAGTCAAAGGCCAGTGTCCCGCAAATGGGATGGCAGAAGACAGACAACTTGCGAGTTTCATTTATTAGGGAAATGAACAGCATGCCCCCTTGCATTTTATGGCTGTAATAGAAAGTTGGTGTGAGGCTGTTTTATTTTTTCTGGACCCTTCCAGGTGTCTCGTTCGACAAGACTTCAGCTACCTGGATTGCTCTGTCCAGGATTGCAGGCCTCTGTAATCGCGCTGTGTTCCAGGCGAACCAGGAGAACCTCCCTATCCTGAAGGTAAGCTGAGCTGCCACCCCGGGGCTGCAAAGATCACAGACGTCCTTTTCTCAGTGTGACCCTAGAGTCCTGGACAGTGATTGTTCCTTGTAGGTCCATAGAGGTTAGAAGAGGTGAGCAAACAGTAAAACCTGGATCTTCGGGGAAGTAGGAGACAATCTTAGCTAGAGGAAAGGCTGATTATCATTAATAAAATTAGTATAAATATAACTAAGTCATCATGACAACTGTTTTTCTCGGCTTTTACATCCCACCTAAGCCAGTGGGCAGTGAGGGCTGTTTCTGAGGTTCTATAATGGCATTTTCATACTAGGATACAGGAGATTCCAGCAAATCCCTTAAGCCGTATATGTTCTTAAAATAGCTCAGCCATTTGTCTTATCTTAATTGTTTTTAGCTTGCTTGCTGATGATATTAAAATAAGCGTAGCTTTATGGAATTCTCATGAAATTTGCCCAGGCAGAGATACAATCTTAGACAGGTCCAAAGTTGCACTTGGCCTCTTAGGACGAAAAACAGTCGTGTGAGCCCCCCTGGGTTTGCTTTTGATTTTTCCTTTTCTCTCTGACGATGTCTGCTTGTTCTGGGCAGGGCAGAGCTGCCACCAGCATGGCTTGCTGGGTGGGGACGACTCCCCTGTGAAGACAGGCTTCCGTTTTCTATCATGGAGGCTTTCTTGGTGCCAAAGTGATGTTGATTGGAGGAAGAGTTGTTTATCTTGGGATAAAACTCTAGATGCCGGTTTTGTGTTTTTCCTTCCCTCAAAGTGGAAGGAAACCATGGTCCAGCCTTTGAGCATTGGGGCTCACAGTATTAAATCTTTCTTGATTTGAGGGCCCAGAGGCTGAGTGCATGCTTTTATACTGGAGGCCCAGGTTTGATCTCCAGCATCACCCATACCCTTAGCACCAGGTGTGGCTCAGACCCCACCCCCAAACAAATGAGTGAAGAAAAGCCCCAGAAAGGGATAGCAGGAGTTTATTTAAGCATGTTGGATTGAGCCATGTCGATAGTATGATTCAGCTGCCCTCCTCAGCAGTCGGCGTTCATTAGAAATGCTCGCTTACATTTGTTTCTCAGGCAAGACTACCTTTGCCTTCTTAGCAAGCAGCTACTGCATTTGCACAAATTTGCACATGGACATGAGTCCCATCTGCATCTGTAGTCTTGAATACACAGGGCTGCCGTTCAGAGTGTCTGTCTGTGGTTAGACTGGGAGTGACACAGTGTTTCACATGGAACATGAAGACGTGTGTGGCATGACGTGTGCATGGATGCATGGGGTGTGCTCCTAGCTGATCATATCACTGCTAGAGCTAGGTATCCACTTGCATCTCTCAGACCCTAGGTAGTTTTGTGCAGTTGAATTATATAAAGTCTGGCTACTTTGTCCTTGACAGTTTACCCCAGTCCCAAAAACCTAAGGCATCTTTAAAACACTATTTGAGGATATGCTTTGAGATTTTTCAGCACTCCAGGAATAAAACTTAAATCATGCCGAAGTTGGCTGAAAGGGGCCTGGTGGGCTCCAATCCTCCCTGTCCCCTCCCCCCCCTCACACACACATATCCATTAGGGCGGAAGCTGACTTGGGGAGGGAGGGCTACGGGAGACCAGAGCTGGCCTCTGAGCTTGGGCCTGGCCGCAGCCTGGGCTGCAGGATATCCACCCCCCACCCCCACCCCACAGCCCGTCTCAGAGGGCCTGGCAGGTAACTCACCCTTGATGGCTCTCCACAGCGGGCTGTGGCGGGAGACGCCTCAGAGTCGGCGCTCCTGAAGTGCATCGAGGTGTGCTGCGGCTCCGTGAAGGAGATGCGGGAGCGCTACGCCAAGATTGTGGAGATCCCCTTCAACTCCACCAACAAGTACCAGGTCTGTGGGCCGGGGCGGGCGTGTGCTCTCAGATGGGAGGCCTGAGGTTTCTCCCGGAGAATTCCGAGAACCCCTTTGTATGTGCGTGGGAGTAGGGTGAGCAGTAGCCACTTCTGAAATGCACTTAGATCCCTTTGGGCAGGGCTTTGCCTCAGAGGCAAGAGGTCTCGGAAGGGAGACGGGGCTGTTCCGTCTATGAAGACGTGTCTGTGTGCGCCCAGCAATTCCTTCAGTTCCAAATTTCCTTACAGAAAATTTGTTTGATTTTGGGGTTGGTGAGTGCATTGTGGTGCTGGCATTTGCTGTCGCATTCAGTGTATGTTACTGGGTACGTGACATGTCAGGGGTTGTGCAGTACGAGACCGTGGTATTTCTCTTCTTCCGTAACAAATACTAACTGGAAAAGGGAGCTGTGCTCGCCTCCACACTGCCACGCTGGCCTCCAGGCTCACACCTGGACTCTCCCTTCCAGCTGTCCATCCATAAAAACCCCAACACGAACGAGCCCCGGCACCTGCTGGTGATGAAAGGCGCCCCCGAGAGGATCCTGGACCGCTGCAGCTCCATCCTCCTGCACGGCAAGGAGCAGCCCCTGGACGAGGAGCTCAAGGACGCCTTCCAGAATGCCTACCTGGAGCTGGGCGGCCTCGGGGAGCGCGTGCTGGGTAAGAGGCTGCCGTCAGGCGGAGACGTGCAGGCTGACCCAGATCTTCTCACCTCCTGCTCCTTTATTTGCTTCTCGTGGTTTTGAACACAGCAAGTGCTTGGGGGCAAGGCCACTGTGTTGGACCGACTCCTCACGGCCCCTGCTGGCTCGCATCTGGCTCAGCCTTAGACTTCTGCTCTCCTGCTGGTCACGTCTGTTTGCTCGGAGAAAATGGGGGCAGAAGAGACTTATGATGAATTTTTGTTGCTCCATCTATGAACTGTAAATTTAGTGAGATTAAAATTAGTTCCTAGAGCAGCTAGGACAGCCATTTCCTGACTGCCAGAGAGTGGTTGTGAATTTACTTGGGGACTGTATAGGATCAGCAGCGAAGGGGTGAAAGAAAACAGGAAATTTTGTGTCTCCATGCACCCTTTTCTCCTTGTCAGCCACTGGAGGATTAGAAGCACATTTTCACCCGTTGCATAATCGCAGGACACAACACTGATAGAATTGCAGAAATAATTCATTACTTATATTTTCCCTCTCATTCCCTTTAGCTTGGGAAACTGAGAACTAGATTCAGAATCCCTGATTCCTCATCTAACTTGAGGTGGCTTGTTTCAGTGTCTGTCCAATGAAGTATCCTTGTCCCTCTGCCAATCAGAGTAGCAGCCGTTTCTCTCCATTCAATTCAGTGTGATACTTTGTCTGTTGTATCCTTCATATAAGATTGAAAGGAACATCTTGGGCATCCTGGTGCTTGTGTTTACAACCCTACTAGATGGAAGTGTTGGGGAGGGTGGTCTGGCCTGACGCCAGTAAGGAGCTAGCAAACTGGCCTGCATCAGGACTCAGTTCCGTGAATGAGGACTAGAGGTGGGCTCCGACTCGCACGAAAGGGAGCTGAGGTGGATTCTGTGGTTTTCCATGGCACAGGTGGGCAGGCGTCACACCCCTGAAAGCTGCTCTGCAGCTTCCCAGGAAGCAGTTCCGCTCCTTAGGGACTTGGCGGCAGCTTCTCCCTTCGCCATTCATAATGGACGTCGTAAGGGGAAGGAAACCATATTCTTTGATCAAACTAGACTTCAGAGACTCTCCCAGCCTAGAAGGGCAGAAGAAGGGGCTGCTCTCCTCCCGGCCCCCTTGGCCCACCTTCAAGGACTCCCTCTCTCCCCTCAGGTTTCTGCCACCTCTTGCTGCCTGATGAGCAGTTTCCCGAAGGATTCCAGTTTGACACCGATGATGTGAACTTCCCCGTCGACAATCTCTGCTTTGTTGGACTCATCTCTATGATCGACCCTCCTCGGGCAGCTGTCCCCGATGCTGTGGGCAAGTGCCGAAGTGCTGGAATTAAGGTAGAGTCCACCTGCCTCCCCAGGGTGCTGTGGGGGCCCACCTGCATCTCTCCGAGGCCACATGCACTCCTTTTGGTATTACGTTGCCCTGTTCTCCCTGCAGGTCATCATGGTTACTGGAGACCATCCCATCACAGCCAAAGCCATTGCCAAGGGTGTGGGGATCATCTCGGAGGGCAACGAGACTGTGGAGGACATTGCTGCACGCCTCAACATCCCTGTGAGCCAGGTGAACCCCAGGTGAGTCAGGAGAAAGCTGTATCTGCCTGTGCTGTGCACCCAGCAGTCATGGTCTCTCGTTGTCACTGGTGTGGCAATCGGGTGCTTTCTGCTTGCATTTGGAGGCCGGAGAGAAGTGTCCTGAGGGCCGTCGGATTCCTGAGAGCGGGAATTCAGGCAGAGTAGGCAGGCCCCGCCTTCCTATATCAGAACTCAGAACAGTAAGCTTAACGAGAATAGGCATGGACGATCTCTTTGAGAGCTATGGCTTTGGGAGCTCTTGGGCTGTGCCCTCACCCTCTTTGGTCCGTGGAGGACCTTCTCTATATAGGAAGCCTACAAAGGACAGGGCTGCAGAAAACACAGCTGTGACTTGGGGGTGTTTTTGATTTTGCCTGGAACGGAGCACGGGCCCCACCCATGACAAGTCTGATGCTCCCGCCCCACTTGGCAGTTAATGGTTCTAACTACAGAGCCCTTGTCAAGGAGCTCGACTGGCAAGATCAGATGGGGAAACTCAGTTTCCTGGGTAGTTAAGGCAAAAAGGAGAATTCTGGCAAGAAAGTAAAACAGATTCAAGAGAGATTTGGTTTTGCTTTGTGTTTTGTTAGTGGAGAGTTTGAGCAACTTTGAAACTTCCTACAACTTGGTCCTCTGTCCATGTATTTTATAGCAAGATAGTAGCTCTGCCACGGGCTGTGCTTTTTGATTGAAAATATCTAGGGGAAAGTGCTCTTCTCCCTGTATGGACCAGACAGATCTTTATTCCTTGGGGCAAGTTTCCCTCTGGCATTTTTCTGCCTGTGCACGGTTTATCCCTCCACCAAGTGTAGGTGACCTTTTTCTTCTTTTTCCTTAATCCTAGAGATGCCAAGGCATGTGTGGTACATGGAAGTGATCTGAAGGACATGACCTCTGAGCAGCTGGATGACATTCTGAAGTACCACACAGAGATCGTGTTTGCCAGAACCTCTCCTCAGCAGAAGCTTATCATTGTGGAGGGTTGCCAGAGGCAGGTCAGTGGGCAGCCAGGCCAGCCCTCGTGGGCCTGCTCAGCCCTGAGGCTACCCTTATTTCTGCTTTGGAGATGGATCCTTAGAGTGTTCAGAGCATGGCTCACTGCCCTGACTCTGGGTTGCCCTGCCAACCCGGGGGTGCTGCGCTCTCTTGAGCGGCTGTTGTGGGCCCCCGTTGGCTTGTGTCTGAGACACACACATGCACAGAGACTGCCCTGAGATGAGCTTGTGCCTTTTCCGTCTCGCGAGACCCTCAGCTGCCGCTTCCCTTGTTCCAGGGAGCAATTGTGGCTGTGACTGGGGACGGTGTCAATGACTCCCCAGCTCTGAAGAAAGCAGACATTGGTGTCGCCATGGGGATCGCGGGCTCCGATGTGTCCAAGCAAGCTGCAGACATGATTCTCCTGGACGACAACTTCGCCTCCATTGTGACGGGGGTGGAGGAAGGTGAGCACTGTGGCTCCGTATCCGCCTTCTTGGGACCTGGAGCTATTCTGCCTCCTTAGAGACTAAAACACAGGGCCGGAGCGATAATACAGTGGGTAGGGCATTGGCCTTGCACACGGCTAACCTGGGTTCAATCTCCAGCATCCCGTATGGTCCCCCAAGCACTGCCAGGAGTAATCCCTGAGCATTACTGGGTATGACCCAAAAAGTCAAAAAAAAAAAAAACCCAAACTGAAACCTAAAAAACATTTGCTTTCCTAGGTCGCCTGATCTTTGATAACTTGAAGAAATCCATTGCCTACACCCTGACCAGTAACATTCCAGAGATCACCCCCTTCCTGATATTTATTATCGCCAACATTCCTCTCCCTCTGGGCACCGTCACCATCCTCTGCATCGATCTGGGCACAGACATGGTAAGGGAAGGTCACTGCTTCTGTGTGCCTGTGGATATCACTGGGCCAGGTGCTCAACGGCCACCGGGTAGGGCTCGCCAGGGGTAGCTGGTCTTGCTCTTGGTCTTGGCATAAAAGGGATAGAATCTCTTTAGGGGAAGCTAGCAACCCCTGTCAGATAAGAATATTCCCTTTTCAAATGACTTTCTTCATGGAACCTTCAATATCTTTTGAACCAATGGTCTTAAGTCATAGCATCCATGCTTGGGCTACTCTGGGCTCTGCCTGGGCTGCTCTATGCCGAGATCAAACCCTGGCTCCCACACAGAGCCAGCGAAGCTGACTCTGGCCCACAATTATATTTTTCTTACGACAGAAAAGGATGCTGCAATGATATCAACCAGTAGGTGTTTGCAGACCTAAACCCCTTCTTGCTCCTTCTCAGGTTCCTGCCATCTCCCTGGCTTATGAGCAAGCTGAAAGTGACATCATGAAGAGACAGCCCAGGAACCCCAAAACAGATAAGCTTGTGAACGAGCGTCTGATCAGTATGGCCTATGGGCAGATCGGTGAGTGGAATGGAGGCACATCCAGGGCCGTGTGCAGACTCCATGGCAGCCCCCCACTCAGGGCAGCTCTGAGGCCCACACAGCCCAGCAGGGAGTCTGGGGATCCCTAAGCCTTGTGCGACGCGGTGGCACCTCTAGGGCCATGTGTGGTGCACAGGCAGCTTTCCTAACTGAAATCAGTTGTTTGGGGGCAGAGTTTGGCTTTGAAGAAATTGCAGGGTCTTGAAGATTTGACTAGGAGGTCCAGAGGATGGGTCTCCGGCAGTGGTTTGGCCATCCCATACCTGCTGACCAGTCCTGGTGCAGGCCGCTGATAGTCTGGACAAAGATAGGCTTTGTTCCTGCAGCTTCCCCTGGGGCCCTTCAGAACAGCCTGGGGGAGCCATCAGCCATGTGGCCTTTCAGATCACAGGGTTAGGACATTTGGGCAAAATGATCTTACCCCAGGTTTTAACCAAGATTCTGATGGTTAATGGCAACTGAGTCAGCTTCTGGCTTAGTGAGCAGTCTAATCCAGAGAGGGGAAGGCAGGGTCGGGAAAGCAGGCAGGAGTCCCACCTGAGGGGTTGAGGGCAGTGTGCTGGTGATAGGGAGGGCTCAGCCAGAAAGTGCCTAATGCACCATGTCCACAGATACCAGCAGAAAGACACAGTGGAAGGAATTGAGATTTCCTCCCCCTGCCCGCTCCCCCGGGGCTGACCAGTAATAGCAGGGGCTTGAGAGAGGCTGTGGGCATCTTGGGCACCTCCAAACCTGCAGGGGTCCTGAGGTTCCCTCCCCCACCTCGCAGGCATGATCCAGGCCCTGGGGGGCTTCTTCACATACTTCGTGATTCTGGCGGAGAATGGCTTCCTCCCCATCCACCTGCTGGGTATCCGCGTGGACTGGGATGACCGTTGGATCAATGACGTGGAGGACAGCTATGGACAGCAGTGGGTGAGTGGGGCCTGGCCTGGCCGCACGCCTCCAGCCCGGTGCTCACAGCAGCACCAGCCCAAGCCAGGCTCACGGTCTCCCTGCTGCCTTCCAGACTTACGAGCAGAGGAAGATTGTGGAGTTCACCTGCCACACCGCCTTCTTTGTCAGCATCGTGGTGGTGCAGTGGGCCGACTTGGTCATCTGTAAGACCAGGAGGAATTCCGTGTTCCAGCAGGGCATGAAGTGAGTCCTGGGGTAGCTCTGCCCAGGGTATCCGCTCTGGGATTTGTAAACCTTCTGCATAAAACTTGTTTCCAGCATAGGGCAGTTTCTGGAATCTCAGGTTAGAGGAACAAACTTGGGAACTTTGGAAGCAAGATTTAATTCTTTGATTATCTTCCTCTGGGCGTCTGTATAGTTGATGCCTGAGGAAGGGCCTTGCTGTGCCCTTTAACTGTAGCTTTAAAACTGTCACCTGGGGCTGGAATGATAGTAGTGAGTAGGGCACTTGCCTTCCATGCAGCTGACCTGGGTTCAGTCCCTGGCACCTTGTATGGCCCCTGGGCCTGCCAAGTGTGATTCCTGAGTACTGCCAGGTGAGGGTCCCCACCCTAGGCCCCAAACCCCCCTCTTTCCCCTCCCCGCAAAAAAATGTCAGTGTCAATTTGCATGTTTTAAACTTCCTCCCTCCCTCATTTCAGGAACAAGATCCTGATCTTCGGCCTCTTTGAAGAGACAGCCCTGGCTGCCTTCCTTTCCTACTGCCCCGGAATGGGAGTGGCCCTGAGGATGTATCCCCTCAAGTAAGTCACCCCAGCCCTAGCTTCCCACGGAGTAGGGGGACGGCAAGGTCCCTTTTCCCATGCCTGCCCTGTCTCACTGCACACACCTGCTCCTCTGGGTTAGGGGGCTGCAGAAGGGGCTCCCCGGGCTTGCAGTGACCACACCAGTGCTGTATACTGGTCCCAAAAAGGACCACAGGGGCCTTGGTGATGTACCGCAACTTAGTTCCTCAGTCTCCTCAACCACCTTCAGGGTATGCCGAGATGTGGCGTCCCAAGTTCAATTTTGATGTATTTCTCTCTGCACCTTGTCCCATCACAATTCCCCACCTTTCTGAGCCTGTGAATTGTCTGCCATCAAAAGAAGGCTGGAAAGGCAGAGCGGGGAAGCACTCGCCTCATCCCTGAAGCCATCAGACCCCTCTTGGTGGCCTTGGGGGGTTGTGCCTGGCCCCCGCCAGCCTACAGTGTGGCCGTCAGGGCTGTGTGCCCAGGGCAGAGTCAGGCTGGCATCTGCTTGGTTACAGGAGAAGCCTCATCTGTCTGTCGGCGTGGGCCATGGTTTCTCCAAGAAGGCTAGGAGAAGCCAGGGAGCACCAGGGTGGAAGTGGGGATGCCACCACTGGCACCTCAGGATAGATGCTGTGACCAGAGGGCTTGCCCAACAGGCTCTGCTCTGTCTGGAGGTTGCCAGGTCATGCAGGGTCCTCTGGGAGGTGGCTTAGTCTCTTTGGTGGCCAGGTTATGCGGGGTCCTCTGGGAGTTGGTTTAGTCCCTGTGGTGGCCAGGTCATGCAGGGTCCTCTGGAGCACCTGCAGGAGACACAGGACAGGAGGTGCAGAAGGGGATTCTGCCATGCGTGGCCTCTGCTCATGTCTTTTTCCAAGGGAAGCTGGTTGTCAGGAAGGCCCTGCCCCAGTCCCAGCCAGCCTCGGGCACTGTCACCAGCCTGGAGTGTGCAAACAGATCAGCCACCTTTGTTCTCCGGGTGTGGGGCTCAGAGAACTGCTGTATACACCTGCAAGTCTCCCTGCTAGTGCTGGGGAGGAGCTGCTGGTGGGGGTCAGAACCAAGAATCTTCAGAACATTAGGATGGGGCTAGAGAGACAGGTGTGACCCAGAAGCCAGAATAGGACATGAAAAAGTCCTGAGTTTCTCAATTTAGAAGCACGTACGGCAGCTCTGAGGTAGCCAGTAGGCAGTGCGCCAGGCCTGCCTGTCTCAGTGAGACTTAAGAAAGCTGCACTGGTCACAGTAGCCAGAGCCTGGAACCAGCCCGAGTGCCCAGAACATATGACGGGTTACAAAGAAACTGTGGTACATCTACACAATGGAACCCTGTGAAGCTGTTAGGAGAGATGAAATTATGAAATTTACTTATAAGTGGATGGACATGGAGAGTATCATGCTAAGTGAAAATGAGTCAGAGAGGAACAGACATAGAAGAACTGCACTCATTTGTGGAATATAAGATAATATAATATGAGACTGACACCCAAGGGCAGTAGTCACAGGCCAGGAATATTGCCCCGTAGTTGGAAACCTGTCTCATGAGCTGGGGGAGAAGGCAGCTGGGATAGAGAAGGGATCACTGAGTCAGTGATGATTGGAGGGATCATTTGGGATGGAAGATGTGTGCTAAAGGTAGATAAAGGACAAAACGTGATAACCTCTCAGTATCTGTATTGCAAACCATAATGCCCAAAAGTAGAGAGAGAGTATGAGGGAAATGTCTGCCATGGAGGAAGGGGGGGGGGGTGGTTACTGGGGACATTGTGGTGGAGAATGTGCACTGGTGTTTGGGAGTTCCATCATTGTATGACTGAAACTCAAACATGAAAGCTTTGTAGCTGTGTCTCATGGTGATTCCATTTTAAAAAGAAAGCAGGCTACAGCCCGGCAGGGCTCTTGGTCCCCAGAGCCCTTCCATGAGTGTTCCCTGAGTGCAGAGCCAGTCGTAAGTCCTGCATGTTGCCGGGTGTGTCCTCAAAAAGATATAAAATGGCCATTAGACTGGGCCAGACAGCTAGTCTAGAGGGTAATATTCTGTACTTGGATGCAGCCAGCCCCTCTTCAACTCCTTTGACTCGTACGCCACATAGACATAGGGGCTCCTGTCCCCAAGTACTGCCAGGAGTGATACCTGAGCTTATTGGGAGTGGCCCAAATTAAAAAAAAAAAAAAGAATAAAACTGAAGCCTGGGGTCTGGTTTCTTTGTCAAGTCTGGACTCTGCACTCTCCCCACTGCCTCCCTAGCTGGTGCCCATCACTATGGCACTCAGCAGGGACCGTCCTTGCCAGAGTCAGGCATGTGTTGACATTGGTACCCGCTTTCCTTTCCAGACCTACCTGGTGGTTCTGTGCCTTCCCCTACTCCCTTCTCATCTTCGTGTACGACGAAGTCAGAAAGCTCATCATCCGGAGACGCCCTGGAGGTAGTTATGGGGCACAGCTCTGGGAGGTGTGGGGGTGGGGGGTGGGCGAGTGGGGGCCAGGGGCATTGCTGCCTCTCTGTCTCGGGTAGCCATGTGCCATTGAGTTCTGAGCTTCCCTGGACCATTTATCTGATTGGTAAAGGCCAGTGGACCAGGCACCCACCCGCCCACTGTGTCCAGTGTCACCTCCATGGGTGTCGCAAAGCCTTGAACCAATCCTGTCTGGGGCTGGAGCGGTAGCACAATGGGTACCTGCATCACCCATGCATGGTAGCCCCCGCCGCCTATCTAGGCATTGGTATTCCTAAGTCCCTTGGGGAGGTGGGGCCTAAAGTTCCCAGCCCCCCACTGCCTGTGTCACCCTCACAGTAGTTGAGACACTCTCTGTCTTGTTTGTGCCTGCAGGCTGGGTAGAGAAGGAGACCTACTACTAGCCCCCCCCTGCACGCCGTGGAGTCCCGTGCCACTCTGCCCTCGCCCACGCCCTCTTTGTCTACTTCAGTCTCGGAGTTAAGAACTCTACCCTGGTAGGAAAGCACCGAAGCATGTGGGGAGCGAGACGTCCAGGAATGAAGCATGTCACTATATGGGGGGAGGGGGGGGGGGCTGCCTGAGAACATCGTTTGGGATGACAGCGGGGAAGGATTTATGTGCCTTTTTGTTTTTGTAAAAAGGATAACCTGGAAAGCCTGAAAGAATACATTTTATATCTGGATTTTTACAAATAAAGGTGGCTATTATAATGGACTCTCAGCCTGTGTTGGTCATTACCTCCACCGGGAGTCCGGTCTGACCCGTGTCCTGCAGTTCTGCAGGCCACCCCCCACTGCTCGACCTTCCTTCCATGCAGGGCGAGAGGAAGAATCATGGAGTCGCTGGGCCTCACCTCCAGCTCCTCCAGCTGCGCGGGGCCCCTGGCGGTTCTTGGCCACTTCTGGTGTCAGCTCCGCCAAAGCCCCCCGTCCTCTGTCTCCCCCGCCGTACTGAGCAGTGCCCCACCACACACTTGTTGCTTATTTAGCATTTCAAAATGCAGCAGGAACCAGAAGACATTTAAGGAGGGAAGGTGGAAAAGATCCGTTTACCTCAGAGTCAAGTCTGAGGACTCCTGCTCTCAGAGCTAGTGAGACACTTAGCAGCTGTCCCCCTGAGTGCCACTAATTACCCAGACCCCAGCCCCACCCTCCTTGGGTTAAGTGGACACAGCAGTCCTTACTCCGGTACCCACAGCCACCCGTCTCCAGCCGGGACCGTAGATCAGACCTGCGGTAGGCCTGTGGAAAGTTGAGTTTGTGGCATTTGCAGAGGCGGGAGCAGGAAGAGAAGTGTCCTGGCCAGTCCTTGTCCCCCAGCCCCTCAGCTGATGAGCTTGGGAGGGCGAGGTGCTTCCTCCTTTCTTGGGTGCATGCCCCTGGAATGATCTCCACACATCTTAGCAAATCATCCTTCATGTGCTGTTTGTTCAGTCCTGTACAAGGATTCTGTGTTGAAGTTGCTGAAGGATTAAAGGGCTGAGATCAGCAGCATCATTTGGTCCTCCCTGGGGATGCCTTACATTGATGGTTTCCATGGTGACCGGACTGAGGCGGCTGCACAGACATTTGAAGCAGCTTGTGGCCCTAAGCGGGGGGGGGGGGGGGGGGGGGGGGGGGGGGGGGGGTGGGGGCGGGGTGTGCTTTTGTAGACAGCCTCCACACCTGGGCACTCACTGCTCCGGCTCCACAAGGACAGGTGCAGTAGCTGCTGAACCCTGCCCCTTCTCTCCAGGAGATTTCACCTTTGAGCAGTCCTTTGAAAGGCTGAGCCTAGAGTAAGAGGTAGGTAAAACTTGTTCCAAAGACGGGCCTCCTGACATGCTGAGTCATCCGGAGTTTAGTTTTCTTTTCAGAAAATGTGAGGGATGGGGGGAAGGCCGTGGGGCACCCCTGGCTCTTTGCTCAGGAATCACTTCTGATGGTGCTTGGGGTAGGAGACACTGGGGATTGATCTGGAGTCCTCCACATGCAAGCAAGTGACCCCATACTGACCCCGTACTGTCTCTGGCCCATCCCAGGCTTTCTAAAGGCAGCCAGAGCAACTGTCTGCTCCCTCGTTTGCCTTGTCACACAGATTCAGTCTCTACTGAAGATTGCTCCAGGGCAACTCTTCTCCCTTGAAAATCTCCTCTGCCTCCTCAATGCACTCCTTTTGTTTGGTTTTTTGGACCACACCCAGTTGTGCTCAAGGCCTCACTTCTGGTTTTGTCCTCAGGGATCATGCTGGCAGGGCTCAGGGGATCCTATGTAGTGCCTGGCAGGAACTGAACTTGGGACTTGTGTCAGCCAGGTGCAAGGCAAGCACCCTTCCCGCTGCATTGTGATACTTGGCAAAATCTGAGAACTGGCACCACTATCTTCCAACCAAATGGCACTAAGTACCAATAATTAACATTAAATTTAAGTGGCCTACATTCTCAAGGCAGAGTGATTGAATGGATTAAACTAGTTATGTGTTGCTTATAAGAGATGTATTATCTATAAAGGATTACAGATTACAGACACACAGATTGAGAGTGGAGGGATAAAAGAGAGATTCCAGGCCAATGGAAACCAATAGAAAACTGGGATGGGGCAGGAGTGATAGTACAGAGGGCAGGGCATTTTCCTGGCAAGCAGCCAACCTGAATTCCCCTTTGCCACCCCCCACCGCCTCATCCATTCCGAGCCCTCCGGGAATGTGATCCTTGAGCACAGAGCTAGGAGTAAGCCCTGAACACTGAGTAGCACCGTAGCCCTGTCCTCCCATTGTTCATTGGGCACCAGTATCTCTCTATTGTGAGACTTGTTACTGTGTTTGGCATATCGAATATGTCACGGGTAGCTTGCCAGGCTCTGCTGTGCAGGTGGGATACTCGGTAGCTTGCCCGGCTCTCCGAGAGGGACGGAGGAATTGAACCCGTGTTGGCTGCGTGCAGCACGCTACCTGCTGTGCTATCACTCCTGCCCAAAATACTGAGTACCACCAAAAAAAAAAAAAAAAGAAAATTGTATTAGGGCCCAGAAATAGAGTTCAGTGAAGAAGGTGCTTGCCTCGAATGTAGCCAAACCCAGATTCAATCTCCAGCATCCCGTATGGTCCCTGAGTACCACCAGTAACTACTGAGCACAGAGCCAGGAGTAACCACCCCTAAGCATTAATGGGTATTGCCCCAAAACAAAACAGAAGGAAGAAAGCAAGGGGAAGGAAGGAGGGAGGGAAGGAAGGAAGGAAGGAAGGAAGGAAGGAAGGAAGGAAGGAAGGAAGGAAGGAAGGAAGGAGAAAGAAAAATCTAGCTGGAATAGCTATGCTGATATCAGGCAATATTTTATTTTAGTTTAATTTTTAGATTTTAGTTTGTTTTTGGTTTGAGTTTGTTTTTTTCTCAGTGCCAGAATCAAATCCAGGACCTCACACATGCAAGCCAAGAACTGTACCGCTGAATTATATCTGTGGCCTCCAAAGACTAATAATGGCAATTAGATGACTCAAACAAGAAGTTATAACATCTGTAAATATTTACATACCACATGTAGGAATACTTGAATATATAAAGCAGCTATTGATATATCTTAAGGGAGAAATGGATAGCAGCATAATAATAAAGAACTTTAATACCCTTCTTTCATCACTGAATATATCCAGACAAAAAAATAAATATCGGTCTTGAGGACTGGAGCAGTTGTGCAGCTGGCAGTGTGTTTATCTTGAAAGCAGCCAACCCAGATTTGACCTTCAGCACTGCATATGAGCAAATGAGCACTGCATATGAGCCTTACCAGGAATGATCCCTGAGTGCAGAGCCAAGAGAAAGGTGTAACTCAAAAGAAAAATAGAAAAGGAAAAAAAGATTAGCCTTAAACTACTCGTTAGACCATGTAGACTTAAAATACAGGATAATCCAAAAGCAAGAGAATATATGTTTTTGTCAAATGCACATGAAATACTCTCCAAGTTGGGTCATATTTTAGGCCACAAATCTTGAATGAATTTAAGAATAATGAAATCATAGCACGCATCTTTATTGATTGCAATGGTTTGAAACTACAAATAACTTACAGTAAGGAATTAGAAAATTCACAAAAAATTACTATTCAAGTCATGTAACTATAACACTACTTTTAAATGCTTTAGGTTAAACAAAAGTCTTGATTCTTGATTCAAAAATCATGATCAGTAAACAGGATTCTGATAAAATGATCTTAATTGAACTGCCAAAAAAGGTCTACACTAGACTTGTAGGAATGGTAACATGGTCTAGAAAAGACAAGTCCAGATGAACAATTGTCTCAGTGTTTTTGTTTTCTAGGAAAGCAAGGAAACATACTACAAGGTGATATATTTCAGTTATAGAATTCATTATGACTGGAAACAACCCTAGACAATATTCCACTGCCATCTCTACTTCCAAATCATATTGCCCCTGTTCATAAAGGGACCTCTTTCAGAACCTGTGATTTATGATTTGTGTGGCCCTTATTTAGTCGGTTAATTTATGGAGGGGCTCCTGAGTTATATGCAGATTTCCTGAGGCCAAGCAATAGTGCCGTGAGTAGGGTGTTTGCCTTCCATGTGCCCACCTGGGTTTGATCCTTGGCATCCCATATGGTCCCCTAAGAACTGCCAGGAGTAATTCCTGAGTGCAAAGCCAGGAGTAGCCCCTGAGAATTGTGAGGTGTGACCCAAAAAGCGACCTCCCAAAAAAAGTTATTTGCAGATTTTCATCTACTTGAGGCAAGGAGGTCACTGTACATACTGCCATATTGTTTAAGGGTCAACTGTAAGGTTATGTGTTGTTAAATGTTAGAAAATATACTTTCACAAACAAATGGTATCACCACTATACACCTATTACTTCACACACATGTTTGTAGTCTGTTGGTTGTTGTATGTAGTCTGTTGTTGACCAAATTGTCACAATGCAGTATATTACAAAGTTAGAGTAATCAAGACAGATTGGCACAAAACCAGACACATAGGTAAACAGTACACAATAAAGAATCCATAAATAAATCCATGCACATATGTTAATTTAGCACAAATGAGTCAAAACTATATAATGGGGTAAGGACAGTCTTTTCAATAAATGGCACTGGGAAAAATGTACCTCAATACCCAAAAGAATAAAACTGGGTCTCTATTTACTCCTTACACAAAAACTCAAAACAGTAAAGATATGAACAAGCCACCTAGAACCACAAAACTGGAAGAAAACAAAGATAAAAAACTCCTTGTCTTGGTGAATAGGGTTTTGGACTTCACACCAAAATCTAAGACAACAAATCAATCTATCAATCACTGTCCTCCCATCGTTCATCGATTTTGCTCGAGCGGGCCCAGTAACGTCTCCATTGGAGACTTTGTTGTTACTGTGTTTGACATATCGAATACATCATGGGTAGCTTGCCAGGCTCTGCCGTGCGGGCGAGATACTCTCGGTAGCTTGCCGGGCTCTCCGAGAGGGGCGGAGGAATTGAACTCCAGTCGGCCATGTTGGCTGCATGCAAGGCAAACGCCCTACCGCTGTGCTATCACTCCAGCCCCAAGACAACAAAAGCAAAAATAAATCAAAAAATTTCTAGACAGCAAGGGAAACCAATAAAATGAAAGGGCAACATACTAAATGAGGGGAAATATTGGCAAATTTGGGCCAGAGAAATAGCTTGATGGGTTAAATGCTTGTTCTGTATCTGGGAAGCTTGGGTTCATCTTCTACAAATACCTCTGGGAAT